TTTCTTTGTATATGCATAACGAATTATACAACTGTTTTTTTTTTATATGTATAGTGAATTATACATATATATGTTTGATATGGAGCGCAGTTATGCAAATTTTGCTATAACATACAAATATGAATTTTGTGTTTGCTGTATGAGAAAGATGCTCTTTTATAATTTAACATTGTTAAGTAGGGATGAAGGGTAATTTCTTAAGAGTTATATTTGTACAACAGTAACAACATACTTGGTTAAATCACATAAAGAGTATATGTGTCAAATGTCAATTACTAAAAATAGAGTCAAAATCTAAGTGATGGTCTAAAAAAGTTAATTTTTTTTTGTGTAAATCAACCTGATAATAGCATATTAAATGTTTCAAGTATGTGAATTGATTTTGTTTTCCGATAAGGTGCGATTCTCTTTAGATAGGCTCTACACGAGGCATATTCAAATAAGTCGAATTAGTGAATACTAAATTAAAAAAAATAATATCTTCTTCTTTTGAAGACTTCTTTAGATGAGAATTCGACAAGGTGGGAAACGATTGCATCCTTCTTATTTTTAATTTTGAAAAAATAAATCAAAGGATATTATCGAAATGATCGATGTCATGTTGTTTAAAAAAGATTTTTATTAAAAAAATAATTACTAAAAATATATAAGTGAGAAAAGTCAAACATATCATTGTCAAGGCACTCTCCCCACATCAATTATTGTTATCCTTACCTAAAGCATCTAAGTTCTTGTTTAAGATCAACTTCCAAAATTGAGAAGAAAAAACCAAAAGCCACCACAATTGTTCATATAGAGAGAAGTAAAGAGGGAAGCTCGTCATAGAACAATCGATCAAAAAAATAAAAGATTGTTGATGACGTGAGAAAAAAAGGTGTCTCTCAATAAAGATGGTCCAATTTCTTCTAGCAATAGCTATATTTGTAATCTTCACATCACTTTACATGTTATGGAAAACAAAAATTCAAGCCAAAAATAGTAGTAAAGTTGTGATAAATCTACCTCCAGAAATCCCAGGAGCCTATTTTCCAATAGGTCACCTCTATTTATTCATTAGCAAAACTCCACTTGCACTAATTTTGGCTAATTTGGCTGACAAATATGGCCATATTTTTAGTATTCGTTTAGGGATACATCGTGCAATTATAGTGAGTAATTGGGAAATAGTTAAAGAATGTTTCACAACAAATGATAAAGTACTTGCGGGTCGACCCGCTTCAAGTGCTGGTATATATCTTGGTTATAACAACGCTGCGTTTGGTTTTGCTGATTATGGGCCTTATTGGCGTAATATTCGCAAGTTGGTCCTGTTGGAAGTTCTTTCAAGTAAGAGGCTCGAGCAATTCAAGCATATCCGCGTCACGGAGGTACTGTTCAATTGTATGACCATCTTATTCCTCTAATGAAAATTGATTTTTTTTATATTGGATGACGATGAAATTTGAATTCATAACCTCTTTCTTTCTGTTCTAAGATTATGTTGAAATCATGTGTGTATCTCATTTCAAATCTTAATATGTTAGAAATGGTATATGTATTCTTAATCAGATAACTAAATTATGTTTGGACTTGCCTTCTCATGTGTTGAACCTAAAAGTTTAAACGGTTAGAAAAAAAACTACTATAATTAATTTTAATTATTTGACTACTCTCAACAGGTAGAGACTAACATCAAAGAACTATACTCATCAATTCTGAAAAGTGGGAGTACAAATCCATCAAAAGTGAATATGAGTAAATGGTTTGAACAATTAACCTTAAATGTTATAATGAAGATGATTACTGGAAAAAGATACAAAACAGAAGATGAAAAAGGGAGACATTTCACAAGAACCACCAAAGAATATATGTATGAGTCTGTCCAATTTGTTTTATCAGATGTAATTCCATTACCATTTCTAAAATGGTTTGATTTTCAAGGGAGAATTAAGTCTATGAAGAAATTGTCTGAAGAAATGGACAAGATTGTAACAAGTTGGATAGATGAACATTTGATGAAGAGAGAGCTAGCAATTAAAGATGATGACCAAGACTTTATTGATGTGATGCTTTCTAAGATTGATGAACAATTCATGTATGGTTATACAAGAGAAACAATCATTAAGGCTACAATTTTGGTAAGTATTTAATTTTACTCAATGCATCTAAAGCTTGAATCTTTTTTAATTTAACTGATATATATATTGACAACGTAAAAGATAGTATATAATTTAGTAAAATAATAATAGTAGTAAACTAACACACTTATTCAATGCCATGTCATCACAACTTATATAAACTAAAGTCTAATTACCAATTAGACCTTCTTGTTGAGAATGTTGTTGATATCAATGCATATGTCATTACATAAAAACTGATCTTTAAAGGCAATTAATTAACAATTTTTGTATATGTCCCTAAAACCTATAGCGACACTGGATTCAATGACAATTAGCTAATGTCGATAAAGACTTTATCAATGTGTATATTTTTGCCGCTAAAACTTGTTTTTGTCGTAGTGTGTGCGGTGTGCCAAGTAGTCATTGTCATGGACATGTTTTAATTTCATATTTCTCAAAGTCTAATTATAAGTTTCACTACATTATATTGTTCTTTAGAACATAATCTTAGCAGGGTCAGACACTACTTCAATTCACTTGACATGGCTCTTGTCCTTATTAGTGAACAACAAACATGTAATGGATCAAGCACAAGAAGAAATAGACATGAAAATAGGCAAAGAGAGATGGGTGGAAGAGTGTGACATAAAAAATTTAGTGTATCTTCAAGCTATTGTTAAAGAGACACTTCGATTATATCCACCGGGACCATTAGCAATACCACATGCTGCTATGGAAGATTGTACCGTGGGGGGTATAAAGTTCCAAAAGGCACGCGATTGATGGTCAATGTGTGGAAATTACATCGAGACCCTCAAATTTGGTCTGATCCTGAAAAGTTTATGCCTGAGAGATTCATGAAAAGTCATAGTGAGATTGATATTTCTGATCAGAATTTTGAGTTTATTCCGTTTGGTTCTGGTAGACGATCTTGTCCAGGGATTACTTTTGCTATGCAAGTGACACACTTGACACTTGCTAGGTTGCTACAAGGTTTTAACTTTAGTACATTAGGGGACTTGCCAGTGGATTTGACTGTGGGCAATAGCATAACTTTACCCAAGGCAAATCCATTGGAGGTATTTGTAATGCCTCGTTTGGCACCTATGCTTTACCGACATTAGTCGGAGCTCCAATACAGACTCCAGACATCAGATGTCAAGTGTTGTTTTAATATGTTTGTTGTCTCGAATATTCTTCTTTATAATAGTTTATGTTTTCTATTTTGCAGTTTGTTTCGATCTTCTAATTTTGTTGGTTTGAACACATGATTATAACATTATTTTATTCAAAGTAATATATCAATTATGGAAAGTTGTAAACATAATTTACATCTCAAATAGTCCGTCCTCGTTAATACTTGAAAAATATAATTAAAAAACTGATATTTACAAGTAATATATACTCCACCCTTGAAATTCCTACACATGGTGAATAAACCAAGAATTTTGCTAGAGATTAATTTAAGGAAAAGAGAATATTTTACTATGAGAATTAAGAACAAGAAAAAAAGATTAAAGTGGACTGCAAAAAGAATAAAAAGAGATTAAATAATTTCTCTTCGTTTCAATTTATTTGTCTGATTTTAACTTGATACAGTGTTTGAAAAAAAGAAGAAGATTTTTTTGAATCTCGTGATCTTAAACTAAAAATACATAGAATTTATTAAATGATATTATGGTCTTAAAGAGTCACGAAAAAGTTTAAATTAAAGAATTAAACTTTTGTTTTATAAACAAACTAAAAAGAAAAGTAAGACAAATAAATTAAAATGGAGGAATATAAACTTATGTATAATGTCCTTTTTCCTTGTTGTTCCACTATCCTCTTCATTCACTTTTACTTGCAATGTTTTGCTCCTTCCCATTCTGTACTTGAATATTAAGTTTTAAAAGTAATGACACAAAATTAGAAAAAAATGGAAAAGTCACGAATTCATTTCAAAATTAGGTGAATATTTAATTTAGGTTAACAACCAATTAACCACATATATGAGGTAAGATGAATGTGATCCCACATTTCTTAACCAATAATTTGAATCAAAACTCTGTGAATAAAAAAAAACTTCGATAAAAATAATTTTGTTACGCAATATGAATGTCGAACTAATTGGTGGATTTCGAGTGACAAATTAAAAATATATATGAAGAAAATTAGGTGAACAAACGTAGACTTGGTTCAACTACAATATTATTTGTTGCTAATTATTCTCTAATAATTTCCTAGTCAAAATTGACTTTCTTGAATATATTAAAAAAAATCAAAGAAAACAGATTTGTTTTGGACAAATACAAGTACTATTGTACAGTCAAACAATATCTATTTTTGCCAAAGCATGTGACTTTGTGTTTCACTAGTTTAACATCCAATACTACATATATCTTAATTAATTTTAATAAAATAATTTATAATCACACGAATATTTATATTTCTTTAAAATCGTAAATTTAGAAGGATTTTTAAACTCTTAATATATCAGTTGATTGACTTCTTAAACTTTTACATTCTTATGGACTATATTTCAATCCCTAACTTTGTAATTGCATCTCTCATTTCCTATTTTCCTAATAAAAATATTTTTTTTTCATTCAATTAATTATTAACCAAATAAAAAATAAGGAAAAAAAGGACCAAATTTGACTTATATTGTTGGGAGATGACCAAAACACACCAAATCCGTTATGGAAAGTATATGTCCAAATAGTAATTTAATGTCTTACATAATCCTAATTAGGAAAATATTTTAATAATCCACGTGTTCATTTTTTATTGGTTACACTACGTAAACTAGCTACTATAACCCTCCACGCTGTATTTTCTCTACAAAAAAAACTCGGCCATTTTCAATGCCTTAAAAAGCTTCTCAGAGAAAACGTTACAGCTCTTTTTTTCCATAAAATTCATAGGAAAAAAAAAAAAAAAAAACTCCGGCGGTCGGAAAATGGGTCAGAAAGGGTATCAATCGCCGGCGAAGAAAGTGTTGTCATGGATTCGGAAAAAATCGAAAAAAGTGAAAATCTTTTTGGGTTTAATCACAGCAATCAGTCTATTGGTGACTCTTAAGTTAGTTGTTCATGATCACAACCTCTTCTTTGTTATAGCTGAAGCTATTCATTTGATTGGACTTTTGGTTTTGATTTACAAATTGACAACACTCAAGACTTGCTCTGGTAATTTTGATTTCAGACATAAATTCTTTTTTATTTTCTGTTAATCTGAAAAAAAGAATATTTTTTTTGTGTAGTTTCCATTTGATTGAGCTTTATGTTAAATTAAAGTAGAAAAATTGGTTTGTTTTGTGTTACTCTGTTACTGCTCTGTGCAAAAAGAAAAATTGCTTTGTGTGTAAAGGTCCTTTTTTTATTCTTTTTTCTAGATGTTTCTATTTTCCACTTTTAGATGGGACATCTTGAATTTTGGGAATTGGGATATTCTTGTGGGGAGTTGGGAGAACTAAAAAATGGAATTTTGGCATTTTTAATTATATTTTTGGGCTATGGGAATGTAACCCACCTCTACTATGTGGTTCCCTTTGATGAGATTTTTTTTTTAGGTCAAATGCGGAAATTCGTTTTGATAATGGGTGACACGGTGAGATTCCATTACATGACATTTGCTTGTTGTGATATCATGTTGCCTCTGTGACCCTTTCATCACTTTAAGCTTTTACGAGTTTTCGGGATAAATAATTTAAGGACTATATAATTTTTTGAACTAAACATAAAGACAAATAATCCTGCACTTTATCCTTACACCTCATACCAAATGACTCTTTAGAGATAACACACTTTTTGTTATTTAATTGTATCCTCAACTGAATATCCCTGCTGATACGACTAGACTATAAATGTTAAAGAATGACAAAAGTCCCACATCGGTGGTTAATGAGATGGGTGGACTCCTTATAAGGCTTGGGCAATCCTCCTCCCTTTGAGCTAGCTTTTGGCACTCTCTTGAACCCTCAAAAATGATAAAGAAAAAGGCACCGCTGCCACCAAAGAGTGTTCACTCTCTGAAATTGGATTCCTCAAGTTACAAGATACCAGAGATGGAGAAGAAAATGAAATCTGTTATGGCAAAGCATTCTCTTCCTGAGTAGACAACGCTCAAAATGGTAAAATCTTCGTCTAAGATCTTAGGAGGTGTAGATGCAGGAGTCAGAAAAGTCGGTGCTGTTAATTCTAGAAAACAAAAAATTGTATATAAAGTATCTGCAGAGAAGTCTTTGAAGATCCCAACTCTTTCATGTTCTCCAAAATCCTCCTCCCTTTGAGCTAGCTTTTGGGGTGTGAGTTAGGCCTAAGACTTAATTTAACATGGTATCAGAGCAAGGCCCATCTCACCCGATGTTGGGGCCCCCAAAATCAAAATTGTCCACGCACCAGATGCTAAGCACTGGGCGTGAGGTGGGGTGTTAAAGAATGACAAAAGCCCCACATCGGTGGTTAATGAGATGGGTGGACTCCTTATAAGGCTTGGGCAATCCTCCTCCCTTTGAGCTAGCTTTTGGGGTGTGAGTTAGGCCTAAGACATAATTTAACAATAAACCTTGGGGGATATATTGTTGACCTTTCAAGGTAAGCCATTTACTGATTAATCTATATAAGTAAAACACAAAATAAATAGTAAATAAATAAATAAATTCAACACAAAGTTCAAGATTAGGAAGGTTTGTCATGGATTATTCTAATGCTAAATGAAAGAGGGTGTGTTATTTTTCAATTTTTAAAAGGAAGGTTTGTCAGATTTGTTCATATGTATGCCAAACTGAATATGGCTACTATACAAGAGGCCATTCTTTTCTTTAGACAGTTACTTGGTGACATCAAAAAGATGATTCCTTTTTCTCAAGAAAACAGAAAGTACTTGAGGAGTGTAATTTTAACTTTAATGTTATAACAATGCAAATCTTTTACATTCCCGATTACGTGTTTGTTCAATTGTCTGATGCGCCGTTTTGTACTCCTTCAGATCGATAGATGCTATTTGTATATTCCTGTTGTATGAAATGTGTTACTTTGGAACCTTGTTATTATAGGCAGGATGCAAGAAGTCCAAATTGTTTTGCGAACTTGTTAGATTGTCATTCTTTTTACTGGACCTGAAGAAAAGATCATTTTTTTCACCATTTGTTTCATATGCTTTCTTCTCCTGTTTTGTTAGGTCTTTCATTGAAGACTCAAGTGCTTACAGCTATATTTTTGGCCGTAAGATTATACTGTAGTTTCATCATGGAAGCAGATATCCACACTGTGCTAGATTTTATCACCCTTGTGGCAACAGTGTGGGTCATTTATATGATGAAGTTCAAGCTGAAGGCATCCTACATGGCAGAACTGGATAACATGCCCTTATACTATCCGGTATACACAATTTTATAGAGCAGTTACTTTTTTGTTAGAAATGTTATTTCCATGTTTTATTGTGTGATTCCATTTACTTCTGTCCATGATAAAACTTTGTTTTATTTATATTGTTTTCTCCTACCCACAATCACTTTCCGTATATAGACTTCTATTCATTCCAAAAGAAACATTTATTATTTACGCACTAAAGGGAAGATTATGAACTTGTTGTTAGTGGGAGCTGGGTGGTAGCAGGTATTCCATGGAATTAGTCGGGGTGTGCGCAATCTGGCCTGGACATCATAGTTATAAAAAAAGTAGTTTAGATAGCAAGTATTCCATTGAATTAGTCGAGGTCATGTGCGCAATCTGACCTAGACATCATAGTTATAAAAAAGTAGCTTAGACAACTAAATACGGGGCCTGGAGTCTTTTTACTGGCTTTCTGGAAGTAAAAAGAATTCCCGGCCTTCTCGGCCATGTTATTTCTACTGAGCTATATGATACAAGACAGTGACATCCTCTGTAGAGAAAAAGTCCCTTATAAATGATCTCTTGCAATTTGAATTGCTTCCTGATATTGCTTTTGAACCATGCCACTCATTTTGCACAGATAGTTCCTGCCGCAGCTTTAGCCTTCTTTGTCCATCCTACTACAAGCCATATTCTGATAAACCGAATGCTTTGGGCTTTTTGTGTATATCTGGAATCCGTCTCAGTACTGCCTCAGCTTCGCTTGATGCAGAATGTTCAGGTTCATATCTCTTCTTTTCCAAATGATTGAGAAGAAAATCCTGTCTTCTTCTTAAACTTGTCTTTTAATGAACAAAAAACTAACAGTATGTTCTGTTCTCGCATTTCAGATAATTGAGCCATTTTCAGCTCATTATGTTTTCGCACTGGGCGTTGCAAGATTCTTGGGTTGTGCTCATTGGATTATTCAGGTTAGTTTTGTAGATTGTAGTGTTATCTTGTTCTCCATAACTTCTTGAATCAATAGCAGCTGTTTCAGTTCAGCAGAACTCATTGGTCTCGTGTCTTGACTCGAATTATGTATATGTATATGAAACAACTTAAATTATCAATTTTTTTAATAAGATAACATTCATTATGAGCTCATTGACTCTAAATATTGGATTCGCCTCTACAAACAATTTAGTCCAAATGGTAACAACATACACATTTCTCCATTTTCAGCACGGATCTAAAGCTATATAATTCCGTACTTGAGAGTTACAACTATTCCTAAACAGGTTTATGACACTGCTGGAGCATATATTTACTTGGCTGGACGCGGTTATTTCTGGATACCTACAGTCTTTTTGGCAGAAATGGTTCAAACGTTCATCTTGGCGGATTTCTGTTATTATTACGTAAAAAGGTGAGCCATTTAGCCCATGACTAATTCAAGTACGGCTATTCATGTGAATCCAACTTTCATTTACATGACTTTTTAACAAATCGTCTTTCTTGATTTGCAGTGTCATGAGCGGCCAGTTGATCGTTCGCCTGCCAACGCCGGTGTGATACACTAAGAGACTGTAACATTTTGTTAATTCTTAAGTTATTATGTGGAATTTCTCCATCCTTTTTCTTTGACAAAGAAGCAAAAGTTTTTGTTGTGGATATTGGATAGAGACCGTGACTAGAACAAACTCCATTTTGAAGAATTTGCAGAACTTTGCCCTTTTGACGAAATTTTGAGTAGTCTTTTCAGTTAAAATTTATCCGCAATCAACATTTTACATCAAACAATATTAATTTTCTCCAAGTGTTTTTAATCAAGTAACAATATGTATTAGTTAACTATGATTAACCAAAGGTCTCGGGTTGAGTCCATGTAGAAAATTCTATTGGGAGTGTCATCCCGAATGGTTCCATAGTGTGCCATCTGAATTTAGTCGAACTTCAATGAAGGCTCCGGACATCGGGTGGGAACAAAAAAAAAGTTAGGAAAAGCATGACAGTTTAAGCCCGATGGCTCTTGAAAATTCTATTTAGAACCCTAAATAGGTTGTGATTCTAATTTAGTTGGATTTCAACGTGGACATCGAACAATAAATCCCAATTTTTTTTAATATGTCTCATACAACTGACATGAGTACATCTGTTTTGATCTTCTTTGTATATATCGTTCCAAAAGATTAATCTTTTTTCTGGAAAACACAAGACAATCAAGGTTTTTTTTACTGTAAGATGTTGGAGCTTTTGAGGAAGATGAAAATGGAATTGGATTACACAAAGAATATTGACCAAATCTGCAATTTCAGATGATAAGATGTTAATACAGTGACCAAGAGGGCAATACATAGAGAAATGATATACTAATTTCCAAACACACGGTTCGTAGAAAAGGCGAAATTGGTGCTTTTGGCAATGAATGTTGTACCTATGGTGAAGCTATAAAAAGCTTGAATCTTTCTTGAACCAAGATTGTTTTTTTGGGTTTCCCATTTGGAGTCAGGATTTTTCCATATGCAGGGCTCAAATCCGAGACCTCTGATTAAGTAGGATCAACCCCATCCACTGATTAACATTCGTTGATTGTCTTTGAACCAAGATTCATATGTAAATGATCACAATCTTGCAGTTATGTTTTGAAGTTGCTTATATTTTAATTTGCCTTTATTTGGCATGTTGTGTATTGATGTGAGTACTTCTTTGCAGGTTGAAACAATATGAAAAATGATGGGAAGGATGCAATACTATTATAATTCTCTTGCAAGGTAGGAGACTTGAGTCATACATAAGTTTGACCATGAAAATGTAATCAGATTTTGTAAATCTGATCTTATTTTCAAACTCTTATAAGAGCTTCTCAAAGAAAAAGTTAGAACTTTTATTTCTCATAAGAAAAAAGGGAGACTCGGCTGTTCGAAGAGAAGAGCTTAACGGAGATGGGGCAAAAAGGGTATCAATCACCGGTGAAGAAACTGTTGTCATGGGTTCAAAAGCAATCGAAGAAAGTGAAAATCGTTTTGTTTATCATCACGGTGATTACTCTATTGGTGACTCTCAAGTTAGCCGTTCACGATCACAACTATTTTTTTGTTATGGCTGAAGCTATTCATTTGATTGGGCTCTTAGTTTTGATTTACAAATTGACAACCCTCAAAACTTGCTCTGGTAATTTAATTTCACTGATGAATTCTTTTTCATTTTTTGTAGATCTGGAAAACAAATATTTTGATTTTTTGTGTATTACTTTCATTTCATTTCATCAAATTTATGTATGCCAAATAGAACGTTGCTGCTATTAGTCGATTACCACTGGACAAGGTGTTTGTGCAATTGTTTGATGCGCGTTGTAAGGTTGAATGCTCTTGTTGTATGAAATGTGCTACTCATGATGCAACTAGCTGTCTAAGATCGATTTGTTTTTACTTGTTGCACTTGTTAGATCGTCATTTTTTCACCTTTCGTCTGATAACTTACTTATCCTGATTTGTTAGGCCTTTCATTGAAGACTCAAATGCTTACAGTGATATTTTTGGCTGTAAGAGTATACTGTAGTTTCATCATGGAAGGAGATATCCACACTGTGTTAGATCTTATCACCCTCGTGGCAACATTGTGGATTATATATATGATGAAGTTCAAGCTAAAGACATCGTACATGGCAGATCTGGATAACATGTCCTTATACTATGTGGTAAATACAATTTCATCCACAAACTCTATTACGTTTGATTGTTGTTAAATCAAGTTCTGATTCTGCTAATTTCTTGAGTAACTAAGCTTGTATAGAACAGTTACTTTAGTTGTAAATATTATTTTATGTGAAGTTATCTAGACTTGTATTAGTTCCTTAAGATGCATGTGTATCCTTAGCAAAGGGAAGCAAGCAAATCAAAAGGAACAAGGTCAAAAAATTATTGTTCGTGATTATGAATCTATTGCTGGCAGGAGGTAACATGTATTTCTAATTGAGATGCACATAAGCTGGCTCGTACTCTATGGAAAAAAAATTCTAACAACTAATTATGGAGCCGGAAATCTTTTTACTGATTTCAGATCAATAGATAGTCAACTTGATGTGGTCTAGCACATTATGCCCTAAGTAACTTTAGTTTTAGCTAAGAGAAGTTAATTGATATTGCTAATATTAGAGTTTATATTCTCGTCTTACTAAATCTAGTTGCAGATATATGTGATACAAGACGATCGATAACATTGCATAGATAGTCCCTTATAAACGATTTTGAATTGTTTAATTTTGACAGATAATTCCTGCCGCAGTTTTGGCCTTCTTTGTCCATCCTACTGTAAAAAGTTATATTCTGATAAATCGAATGCTTTGGGCTTTTTGCGTGTATCTGGAATCCATATCAGTGTTGCCTCAGCTTCGCTTGATGCAAAATGTTCAGGTATTCATATCTCCATTTCTTTTCTACAAAGACAGAAGAAAATCGTCTTCTTCTTAAACAAAAAGTTAACAATATTTGTTTGTTACTTACTTGCATCTTAGATACTTGAGCCATTTTCAGCCCATTATGTTTTTGCATTGGGCATTGCAAGGTTTTTGGGTTGTGCTCATTGGATTATTCAGGTTAGTTTTTTAGATATCTTCTGTTCTATAACATTTCCTCCATTTTAATCGTCAATCTAAGCTAATATAATCTCCGAACTTGAAAGTTACAACTATTTCTATCCAGGTTTATGACAATGTTGGATCACCAATTTTCTTGGATGAACGTAGTTTCTTATGGATACCTATGGTCTTTTTAGCAGAAATGGTTCAAACCTTCATTTTGGCTGATTTCTGTTATTATTACGAAAAAAGGTGAGCTATTTAGATCGCTACTAATTCAAGTACTTATGTGAATCTAACTTGAGTTTTTTTTTTTTAATAAATCGTCTTTGCTTTGCAGTGTTATGAGCGGCCAATTGATCATTCGTTTGCCAGTGCCTGTGTAAAAGGCTGTAATATGATTTTGTTGAATAATTCTAAAGTTATTATGTGATAATGAAACTCTCAAGTTCTTATTTTGGAGATTTTTGAAATCTCAAATAAATTTTAGTAACTGAATCGATATTTGTTTCTCTCTTCTTTTTTGACGTTTACATTAAATAATCAGTGTTTTAATTACGCAAATATGTATTGATATTTTTCAACTATCGTCACGCTCTTGATATTTTTTTTATACGGTTAGACAAATATTATTCAATTTTTTTATTTCACCAGACTTTTCCAGAACAAAACTAACCGTGCGTCATTACTCGCCACGTGTACATTTCAGCACAAATTCCTAAGAAAAAACATCAAAATCTATTTCTCCTCCTTGATGGAATAGAACTATTCAATATTTCAATCCCTTTTCTGTTCAATCTGACACGTGTCACAAAACTATAACGTCAGTAAAACGTGCCGCCGTTAGAAACCACGTGGCAGTCCAAGAAACATGCTGGTTAAATGCTTTACTTAAACGCTGGATTAATTGATCATACGTGTAATTAAAACTCTCACGTCATCGTTTCTTTTCACGCCACGTGGCATTCTTCACTACATTTACTGCTTAAATAAATACATATCCTATTTTTTATCTTCTTTGTATATCTTTTTTGTTCCTAAAGATTCAATCTTTTTCTTGAAAAAAAAATAAATACAAGGAAGCAAGGTTTTTTTTGTTAGTGCAAAAAAAAGAAGAGAAGATGTTGGAGCTAATGAAGGGTGATTTTGATGAAGATGAAAATGGGATTGGATTGAGTTTAAGCTTATCAATTGGAGGAAATTACACAAAGAAAAATGATCAGGTTTTCAATTCAGATGATAACATGTTAATAGAGTGGCAAAGGTCGAAAAAGAGGGCATTACATAGAGAAATGATGGAGAATGAAGAACTAATTTGTAGAAAAAGCAAAATTAGAACTTTTGGCAATGAAGATGTAAAAAGCTTGAATCTTTTTGTGAATCAAGATTCATGTGTAAATGATCACAATCTTGTAGTTCCAATTTGCGATCATCGGAATGTTGGGAAAAGGGAATCGATGAGGAAAAATTGTCGAGGTTTTAGAATTTATAACGCGAATACGAGTTATAATCAATGTAGAAGTAGTGAGTCAAATGGATTTATGGAGAGATGTTCTTCTACAATTACAGAATGCCAAAGTTCGTCTCCTAAAGGTAATCTATTTAATTTGAAGTTCCTTACTAATATCTGCATAACTCTAACCAGCTATCACACGAACAGGTAGAAGTAGTAGGTGTAATGTCATGTCCATCAAAGAGGAACAAGACCAAAAAACAGAGGAAAAGAGGAATTGTGGCATGATTCAATTGCTTTCTCGAATGCCGTGTGTTTCAGCAACCGGTAATGGCCCAAATGGGAAGACGATAAATGGATTATTGTGCAAGTATGATAACAAAATGGAGATCAATATTGTTTGTGTTTGTCATGGAAAATCATTTACCCCTTCTCAATTTGTGGAGCATGCTGGGGCTGTTGATTTATCCCAGCCTTTAAAACACATCACTGTAATTCCCCCCTGTTTTTGATGGAATCTAACTGATCTTTTAATTCAACTTCTTTTTTAATTTCTTATATTAAATCGAGATAGGCTTTTATTTCTTTTTGTGGTTCAAGTTGAATTCTTTTACATGGAGTTTTGTGTCATTGAATTTTGAAAGCAGCATAACCCCACAATGTGCGTAAAATGGAAGCAATAAATAAAAATAGAATGCGAACACACGAAGTAGTACTAACAATTGGACGCAAAAAATAAATAAATGAGTACAAAGTACTTCAAATAATTGAACAAAGAACAAAAAAATAAGTACCACAAACAAGCAATGTCCAAGATTCTGCAAGTTGCAACTAACACCACCAAATAATGTTAGGGTCTTTTCCATCGACCAATTTGATTGTGTCACTCTTGATCTACCATTTTGTTATAAATTAGTTGGACAAACAAAATTAGTCTGGATAATAACAAATTGATGGTCAGATAAATTTGAGTCTAAATAATTACCCATCTTCGACTTATAATAAATTATAGGGTAAACTTTCCCAATTATATATTTTTTTAAATTGTGTATAGGTCAAAACGTGACACATAGATTAAAATAGGGGAGTATTTCTCTTCTATATACAAAGCATTTAGTGAACATTGAATAATAAAAAGAGAAGTATCCAAAACATCTCTGAAATTGGTGTAAATTATTAGTTTCATCTTTGAATAATACCGTTTTACTTGACTAACTAAATTTAAGTACACTCCCGATCAGTCATATGACATAACAAGTGTTGTTAAACCCTTCTAGGAGCATGGAGTTCTTGATAAAAAAAGTCTAGAGAAGTATTAAAAAAAATCGGTTTCAAGAATTGAAAGAGTTGTAGCAAGATCAAATGTATATTTAAATTAGGCCATCAATAATTGAAGGAAAATATTTTATTTAAAAACTCTTATATTTCATGACATTAAAAATATGTATTAAGACATCCCTATTTATAATACTAACAGCTAAAATAAATTAGGTCTATAACCTCTCTAATTAATAAATCTTAATTACACATAAATAAGTAATATCATAAATAACAAATCCTAAATGACTTAAGATTCTTATTACAATTTTAAATTATTATTCCAACAATAGTTCAGTGATGAAATTAATTTCATGCCAAATTCTATCAATTATAATAAAGACATAAAATCTGCTTAATATGTTGATTTAATCAATAATAAATACTACTAAAATTAGTACAATATTTAATTTAATTTAATATATTTCCTCATCTAATCATATGATTAATAATTAACTAAAAGTACTCCTAATACTAGTAGTAGTAGTACTTATTTTTTCGTGTGTAAATCTACATATATTAAAGTTTTAATATCCCACGAGTCACCACATCACGTGTATAAAATCCTCTTTGGAACCCTTTCTCTCTCCTTTTCCCACTCTCTCTCTCTACTCGCGCCTCGTTTCCGAGATCCACCACTCTCTCTACAGCAAAACCCTAGAACTCAAACCTTCCTCCTCCGCATCTAGAGAGAGAAACACACAGACTGTACATCAAACTTTCTCTCTTTCCACTGACCTGATCCGATACAAATCCAGGTATTAATGTTTAATTTTTTTGAATTAAGTTTTTTTTTCACGTATTCGTTCATGTTAGATCACGAGAACAGAGGATTCGAGTTTTTTTTCTAATATTTTTGGTTAATTTTGTGTTTAGTGCTTTAAATAGGAGTTCGATTGATTGACGATGGCAGCGGAAGCAGCAGTGGCAGTAGCACCAGTTTCTGCTCAAGTTGTGCGTATATAAATCATTGCGTTTATTTTGTTTTGCTTTAGCTGTGGATAGTGATTGAGTTCGATGTATTTGTGTATATAGGTTGCGAATGCATTTGTGCAGCAATACTATCATATATTGCATCATTCGCCGGGGCTTGTATTCAGGTTTTACCAGGATATAAGCAAGCTTGGACGTCCTGAAGAGGATGGATCCATGGGTATCACTACGACAATGCAAGTAAGTGCAAGTGAACTTATCTTCGCGTATACTATGGTCCATGTTATTCCCTTTTCCCCTATATTAATTTTGTTGCAGAAACTTGTGAACAATGTGCTTAAATATTTGTTTGTTGGGTTAGGGAGTTGATTGATTGTGTGAAGAGTAAAGGATTTGAAATCTGTTGAATTTATTTTATTGCTTGTAGGTAAAGATCACATTTTTAGATGAAATTTCATTAATCATTATCAGTGTTAGGTGACCACATGTAAAAAATACATTTTTCTAATTAATATCTGCACATTTTAATGGAAAAAATGGTTCTTTATCCGTCTGTTTCAAACTAAATGCCTTAATTGACTTTGCACATGTATTGAAAAGCTTGAAACTGGAATATTGTTCTTTAGTTTTATGTAGAATGATGTAGAGTGAGAAGTTATACTTATGGGCTTTGTTAGCTGTGGAGATGTTGGGTATACTTGAATTTTGATGCAGGTTTTTTTTGGGTTTGGAGAAGATTTAATTACCCTTGAATGACTGAAACTGGTCAACCTTGAGAGGCTCACCTTTAGCTATAATAGGGAGATAGATTTATCACTTTTTGCTGCTCTGTCTTGTTTACTCTAATGATCTTTTGAATTAACAATGCTGGAGTTGCTAATGTTCTTTTGTTTGATGTCAAACACAGGCAATAAATGATAAGATACTCTCACTCAACTATGGAGATTTCAGAGCAGAGATCAAGTCTGTGGATGCCCAAGAATCCTTTAATGGCGGGGTGCATGTCCTTGTAACTGGATATTTGACTGGGAAAGACAACTTGATCCGGAATTTCTGTCAAACTTTCTTCCTAGCACCGCAAGATAGGGGTTACTTTGTCTTGAATGATATGTTTCGATATGTAGAGACTGCCGGTCAGCATGATACAGTCCAGGTTCCAGTAACTGATGCTGTGGCTCCTGTCACGCCAGAGCAAAGTAATTGCAACAATTGTTTGGTTCTTTTGGCAATACCCTAATTAGCAACTAACAGTTTTTCTTTTACCAGTTGTTGCAGATCCACCTACAGTACCGCAGAATCACATCCCTGAGCAAAGCACTCCACCAGCAGAGGAAGCTGATGTGGGAGAAGTTTACAACCCATCTGAGAATGGTGATGTGCCTATTGTTGAAGATGAAGTGCCTGTGTCTGAGGTTGTCGATGAAGTCCAAGATGGCTCTGAAGTGGTAGCTGAATCTGACAACAAAACTGGGGAAGTTCCTAAGAAGTCATATGCTTCAATTGTAAGTGGTCATGGCAACAAATAACTGGATGCAAACTTTAGCACCTCTATA